CAATAACCAGCCATTCAGATTGAAAAGGAGGACCAAGCCACTAGTTCATGGATTTCTGCATTTCAGATGCAAAAGATGGAGAATCTATTTGAAAACTGTGCTGTACCACGAGATCCGGTAGATTTGACGTTTCCCAGAAATATTGCTGGTTACAGTTCAGCAGAGATGAGGACTAAGCATTCCTTGGGCTCCTCGTAATGCATTATCTAGGTGCCATCAGGAAAGAAGAGCAAATCACCACATTCACCAGATACTGGATTCATTCCCTATAACCCCCTATATAATCCCACTTTCCATTTCATTTTCCATTTTCTTTTCCATTTGATTCTCCATTATTAAAGGGGATACTATGACTCTCGTACTACATTTCCTGGTCAGGCTGCATTACAGAAAATGATCCAGTTGTGAGGATGAGGATCCAGTATGACCAAACCAAAACTCTCCCGATTCCTGCTTTGTTTGTATGCATATCTTTGGTATGCTCCTTACGAAGTAGGACCAATCTAACAGATCATGAGATCATGCTTTTCTTATTCATTCTCATCATTGGCTTTCATGGTGGGGCTTCATGATTAGAAAGGAGAGCCAAGCCACCAGACCCTGGATTCCAGATCTGTCTTCGACAATACGCTTACCAGATTCCATTGGATATCAAAACCAAATCCCCAGATTCTGAATGCGGAAAGGCTTGCCCAGTGAACCCTAGCGGATAGAAGGGCCCAAAACGGTAGATAGCAAAAGGGGGGGCAGCAATTTTTTAGGAGCAGAGATTGGACCTGCCAGGAGCTTTGGGGTTAGGGTTTTAGGGTCAAGGCTACTCTAGAGGCTACGGCTTCAGGTCAGGATTCACGGCTTCAGGGCTAGGAGTTGAGCTGACAAACCTCCGCAAAGGCCCGCATAGGCCGTGGTCCGGACCGCCAATAGGGTTCGGGGTCTGATGCGTGGGTCTTTTGGGCTTACGGGTTAGGGCAGTTAGGATTTTAAAGTTAGGTGTTGAGGCTTTACGACCGCTTTAGAGTTAGGGGTGGGTTCCACGCTTCGAGCTTTTCGGATTGTAGGATTCGGGTTGTTGGGGTTAATGTTGAGGATTTTTGAGATGAGGCGGCAGAGGATTTACAGGGGGGTTAGGTTGCCCCAGAAGACCAAGAGGTTTTTGAGGGTTAAGGTTAAATCTTTCCCAGCAAGGGCCGGTCAAACAAACACTTGATATCCACGTCAACCTGAACATAGGCCCGGACAGTGGCCTGGTCACAGGCCCGAACATGGACAACAGCCATGTAATCCCGAAACAGCAACGGAAAGGGACAGCACAGAACCTGGACACAGCCCCACAACAGGTTGAAGAAATCGATGCCTGCGTTGTTTGGGGTTTCTATAGCCTGTATGTTCACCTCCCCAGCTGCCTTCGCGCTGAAACTCGGAGGTCTGGACCGCTGCCTGACAGCACAGGAAAGGCAACAGTACATGTATATGGCATCACGCCTCCCCATCAGAGGCGTTCTCACAGTTCACAGGTTTGCTGGGTAAGGAAGCGGAGAGCTTCTCGGTGCCCGGCAGAAGTCGTCAAGAGTGTTGTGGATGCAACCGTGGTCTGACATGTATGCGAACGCACACACACATACACACACCAGGCAGCGGTTGATTCTATACCGAGCTCAGGGCATTGACATGCTGCGTAGTAACTGCAGTGGTTGTAGTCGTGGTCACTACATCAGCCTCACGCTTGCTTTACATCTGTGGCTATCCAAGGCAGCGAGAGAAGAATGCGGGGCCCGCGTTTATGACTTGCGTGTCGTCTCGCTTGCGAGCATTGCTTGCTCGTCAGATCTATCAGATGCTACTAGGCTCATTCGCACGTCCTGTCTCTCGTCACATGCCAGATGATTCTTCTTCAGTCTTTCTTGTAAGAGCGGCATCCAATATGAAAAAAGTTGACACACGGCATTGCAACTGTAACGAAACTGGCTCTGAAGTCAGGTGACCTCGTCTGAGCATTGCCCGCAGTGCCCGAACGACGTCCTTTTCAAGGGTCGATGATCTGGGAATGGCTTTATTCGCGAGCGACTGCAGCGACACGCGTGCAGGACTTCCAGACCCCTCACCAACGCAGGCAGGCTCCCGAGCAACCATCAAGTGCCTGTGGAGATTCCGGAGGACCCGCACCGGAAGAGACAGCAACATGTGCGACACGCCCCCGCACAGGTGCAAGTAAAGGAGGTATCTTGGCAAAGCATGACGTACATGTGCACTGTGCATACACTCCCAAAGCAACAAACTGTGCAGGGGTCTTCTATTTGTTGGAATACTAGGTGCCACATGCACCATGAGCTTCCTGGCTACGTGATCTCGAAGTTCCCCATTCTTTGTCAACGCTGTTAGCAGCACCATTTCAACTGCACCCAGCTTGCGTACGCTGCCTGGAGTCAGAGAGCACACTGCACAGAGGATGTCAACAACAGTTGGGATCTCAAGCTCTGAATGAGCTAACGTATCTGTCAAGTAATTTGCCAAAGGAAGTGGAAGTTCGATCAGCAAGTGCAGGCAGCTGTTGCACAAAGACCTCAACAGATGTGGATCGTTCACATCCTCCGCATCGAAGTGTTGACAAATCTCGGTCAGGACTGCTGTCAGCAGCTCCGGGCAGGTCACGTTGCCCTCCGGATTTGTAATCTCTTGAGGCTCTTGTGTGAGGGCTTTGGCCCAAAATGCTAGCAAGTGCACCAGCTCGGCTAGCGTTCCCGTCTTAGTCCTGACACTTTGCAGCAGGGTCGTGGAAGCTGTATGCCACTCCTCTTTGCTCCAGTGGCGGGTTTGCTGGCGAAGCACAGACTTAAGAGCTGCTGAAAGCGGCACCGCACAGTCCGATTTGCTTTTTGCTGCCACGTGCTTGCACAAGGCATTTGCAGACTCGGGTCGATATCTAACTGTTTGGACTGCTCGGAGCATGCCATTGCTGGAAGGTCACGCAGGCAGCGGGCCAATACCAAGAACTCTGCTTACGCGGCTTTCGCACGAACAAGTCGTGGCAACGATTTGCAGGCAATCAAGTTGGCTTAGCTCACACCATGATTGGCAATCGGTCTGGCTCAGGCACAGGCATGCAGCATCCAGGAGGCAGCCATTGCAGGGCCTGAAGACATGTCTACAGGTGCGACAGAGACTCACCAATCGGGCCTGTATTATCAAGCTGTGACATGTCTTGGTCTTCACTACGAAGAGCTGAGATAGTTGCCACTCATCATTGGCTGATACCCCTTCTCTGCCAAATCGGGATCTACTGCAGCCACCAGCTTGCAATTCTGCGACAGCGCATAATCCCAAGTGTACATGTAACCTTAGCTGGTCCGACATGGTTTGACTTTCAATGACACTAGCAAACAAAACCGTACAATCTCCGAGAAACCGCCACATGTCATCCCGGGGCAGTCAGGCGTGATTTGTCGCGATCTACATGCCTTCGCAAGTTCAAGGCAGAGGACTTGCCAAAAACCGAATCTGCATCAAGCTGGCAGAGAGTCGCCATGCAAAAGACTTCTGATGGCAGCACGTCTGAGTGGTAGGCATTGCCGACAAAAGCAACTAGCGTCCCCTCTGCAACATCATCTGCTGGGCAAATGCCTCACAGCCAAACCCTGGACACTGCACAGCTCCAGATACCAAGTGATGACATGACCGACAGCTCCGACGAAAACCCGGCTCAAAGGTGCAGCAAGGAGGCTGCTGAGCAGCGCTTGGATCATAAAGCTCGCAGATGCCGGAGACATGTGTCCAAAGAGACAGTCTTCTGGAACCTGCGGCAACAGGAAAAGCTGGGTAGGACAAGATTTTGCACAGAATGCCTGCTCTAAGAATTCCCACAGGTCAAAGTAGCGCATGCTGTTGGAAGCATACCTGACGCTCTGTGCTTCCAGAATTGGGGGTGGAGACGTAAAAGCATGTGGTGCTAGCCATCAACCCACCCTGCAGCGGAGTAGTCCATGGATCCTCCTACTCTTGCAGCTCTGGTGCGTTTTGAAGCCGCGCTTTATCGCTTCATGAAGGTGAACGTACACTGCGTTCTGATACAACTCGCTGCAATATTCAATCTTAGCCAGGGCATAGATGATGCAATGCTTCAGGCCAGCACGACTTTGGAGACTCAGGCTTCAACCGACAGCACAGTGCATCCATGTACTGCGGCACGTCCCGTCGTGCAGAATGTTTGGAGCGTCTGCGCTGTCCTCGTGCGAAGCTCCACAAAGCGCTTAAATTCCTCTGGCTGGTGCCCTGAGGTTTTTTTATCTGAGGACTAATAGTCAGGTACGTCTTGGGATGTCTCAGGTATGTCTTGCCCACCGCCTTTCCAACCTCCCAAGACATGCAGCGGGAAAGACTACTTCTCGCCACCCACTCCTTCCATCCAATGCCTCCGCCGGTTTATCTAGGAACCTCATCTCCATGCAAGTGAGGACGAATCGGGTCGCAATTTTTTGGAGGAGCCTGACATGTTTTCTGTTCGCTGTTGGTGTTGTCTGCGTGGCGGGCGAGCTCGGAACCCCAAACCACCTAAAACACTACACCGGCTATACCCGTAACCTCAAACCTCTGAACCGCGCCCTGGCTTTTTCACGTGTCCGTTGCAAGGAGGCGGCTTGCGCGCCACGAGTAACAGATCAAATGGGAAACATGCATACGGTCACCATTTGGGTCGGACGATCACCTCTAATTTAAAAATTCTAACCCAAATGAAAGCCGTCATGCTAACCGACATGGTATTGAGCTGCCTGATGTTGCATCCCGTCCTGTGCATTCCCTCTGTGTACAAATCTAGGATGGCCTCCAGGCCCAGTCCGGCGATTTCAGGCCTCCATCATATGACTTTAAAACATGTCGTCCAACAAGTCAGCCTGCATGCATAGCCTTGTCGCGCACCAATCAAGAGCACAGCCCTTGGCGTAGCCGTACCAGAGACCAACCCCCACGACCAGGAACATTGGGCTTTGCTGCCACTGTCCTACAAAGTACATGCTGCAGCTCACTCAGCTCACTACACAGAAAAAACTTACGGTCCTTGTGTGATTGTGTCAAGCGCCACCAACCCTATATCAACTTCATCCCAGAACTCTGCAACAAGATGTGTCACGCGGATCCTTAGTACGCACTGGTTCAAGAATGAAGCGGTCGAAGTGTCTACCGTGGAGGCAGGCAACTGTCCCAAGCTGGCGTTGTAGGCGGGTGCTTGTGCCAATTGAGCGTATGCGAGGGGCAGCTCCGCATAGTCCCTGGTCTCCGAGTGCGCCCCTGCCAAGCCAACGGTACAGCGAACCAAGTGGATACAAATATCCTTCGGGTGAAGAAACCAGCTTGGGCCATGGCCTCTGGCGAGGGACATATTTATGCTGAATAAATTAGTGTAAAGTACACTCGATTCAGACAGCTGCGAAGGCCTTTGTGCTCGTTGACCGCATGCCCGCTCTGGTACACCACAGTTTTGTGCCTTGCCAATGCCGGGTGACTGAGAGGATCCCAAAAAGCGCAGCACCAGTACGTGCTATCAGAACGGAATCATCCAAGTTGCACCACCTCGCCGTCTTGGAAAATCAGATCCAGCATATGCAAATAAACGCCTTGTCACGTCAAAGCTTGTCTGACTGAGGAAACTGCAAACTCGAGTGAAGAAATCATGTTCATGCGCCACAGACTTGCTACAGATTGGTCTGCAGCCAAGCTTCCATCTGTAACAAAGCCATCTCGCAAAGAGTCCAGAGCACCCGGAGAAAGGAGGTTTGCCAGCTGTTGTGTCCACACTGCGGTTTGCGAAGCGCCGATCAGGACAACCCAGCTGCCTCTAGCACAGCCATGGAAACGGAGCAGCTCAACACGGACCAAAACTGTATCAGCAAATGCAGAAAACGCCTGAGAGACAGCTCTCCATGTGAGGCACATCGCGAACACCCATTCGACAGGGAGTCTCCTGGAGCTGAAAGTCCCATGCATCCACCTGGGACGAGGTGTTTCTTTTTCTCATAAAGCCATAAAGACGGAAGACAAAATGTAGCAGAGATACCGTCTCTCCACTGTTGAGTCTGCCTGAGCAAGGCACAAAGCTGTGTAGGGGTTACCGCACTTGCCGCCACACATTCTTGAACGCACAGACCTGGTTTCTCCATCACGGTTCCCCAGGACGGAACCACGGGCATGCGCCCGCACACCGGCGGCAGCGGCTTTCCATGAACCATAGGCATCTGCAAGAAGCATCTGATTAAGAATCCAACAACCCATCACATGCACAGGTATGCACAGGTAGTGCCTGCCTCATCCTCTGCAGAAAGACTTGGCTTGCAGGTTTCCACTCCTATGGTCTGACCACATGCTCGAATGACGTCCCAGCCTTGGACGGCACTCAAGTCCCCACAATGGCTTACAGTGAAACTGCCAGGCTATGGACTCAATACACAACAAAAGGAATGCAGGTGCGGACAAGGTGCACTCTCTGAAGATCGCATTTTTCCAGGCTGTGCTTCCTGGAGAGCAATTGACCCAGCATAGGCCCCCAACACTCCCAGTAACGAAGCACACCAGGCATCCGCCAATGCACTACCAAAGCTAGGGCCGCAAATTCCAGCCTTCGCCAGCCCAAGCAGGGCAATGATGGTGAAGTGAATCGCTGCCGGCTGACTGAGAGACTGCTTTGGCCCAGGTTTCTCCACAGGGCTTGTCTCCCTCGTTCTCCAGCAGCCAACCAATCCTTCTCCAAGGATTCAACCGCAGAAGGCTTTGCGCACATCACATAATCTAAGGCTTTGACACATCGGCTATGCCTTCAACACATGGCCTTGAGCCAGGGCAGCAATCAGACTTGCTAACATCAACGATGCTTGATTGGAAGCACGGGCTTCCTAACAAGTGTCCACAAATGCTCTCATCAAGCAGAACGGTAGACTCGGGTGCCAAGGCGCTGTGGTAAATTGCAGGCCTTGGCTTGGAACCGTCTGAGACACCAGTCAAGTAGGAGTCGAGTCAAGCCAAGCAGCCGCAAATAGCCGCAGCCCAGATGCCACCAGGGCATACCACAACATCAAACATGCGCATTCGTTTTGACTTTGAGCTGCTTAGCCGTTTAATGCTGGGTATGAGGCATGATTAGTTGCCCCACCAACAGCAACAAGGCATGCAAAGCTAGAGACATGGTTCGCTTCTTGCACTCACCGGCTGGCCTTGTTCATGCTTCAACTTGCTGAATAGCGTCTCGAGCAGCACAGGTACCCCGATGCTTCCAGTGACTAAGAACGAGTTTGCCTCCGTAATATTCTGATAAGAAATACCTCACCTACATGCTTGGCGTCAATGTTCAAAAGCACTGCCTCAGAGCTGCACACTCGTTGCACCTTCCAATATCAATTTCAACAGGCTATAGAAATCATTGCTGCCAAGCTTAGACGACACTATGGCATAGCAACTGCGAATTGAAGATGAATGTGTGCAAGGCCTGAAACTTTGATCCTTCACAGGCTGCTGACCCGTTATCAAAGATCAAGCTGCTTTTCTTCTCGGGTTGCGGCTATGGCATCGCAGGTGCGTTATCCCGGGGCCCACATGCTAGCCGCTAGCACAGCACGACAGAAGAAGTTGCCTCTGCAGACTCTTGCCATTCAAATTTCAAGCATGCCGAAGAGAAAGGCAACTCCATCTTGCGCGGCACCATCGCAGGCAGCTAGGCTTCATAGGGTAGAGCCTCAGAAAACGGAGAGCTACTGGTTAAGCAGAAACCCCATGCAAACGCCATCATCAAGTGCTGAAGGCCACGCTTCCAAAGAGACGTCTGCATCAGCAAAGACAGCCCAGCAGTGTGTGCCTAGGCGGCGTGTGGCTAGATTTAGCTAGCATTTTGAGCTTACAAGACTGCACACAACGGAAAATCATCTCACCGGGGTTCGAGCAGTAGAGGTCGCCGGCAACATCGTTGGCCTTCAAAATTGCAGGATCAGTGACGGTCCATGCTGTACGCCAGCATACTGAGCACACTGCAACATGTTGAACCAGCACCTGGCAAGGAGTCGTGTAAGACGATAACTGACACTCCTCTGCCTGAGGTTGTGGCGCTGCCGGCATGACCAATGCAGTCTTCCTGCTGCGTGCAGAGCGGATGCCCCCTGCTGGGGACAGGCTGAGATCCATTTCGCGGCCTTAGCTTTGGAGATCTTTCATCGAGATTCTTTGCAAGTCATTGTCCAAGCACGGAGCCACTTGTGAGCCCCGTGACCATTCCTAGTACCACCTTTTCCACCTGAGCTACCAACGCGCAAACCCTCAGCATGCAGATCACAAGGGAGAAGATACAACACAAGCCCAGTGGCCAAAGCTCTGTTCCAGCGGTCTTTTTTGTGCTCCTGCCCAACTTTTCAGCACAGACCCTCCCTGCATCCAATGAAGGTCAAAATGCTGGTACACCTCAAGGCAAAGGGCTCAGCATTCATCTTGCCTTGATGCTGCCAATTCGGCTGACTGGAGGCCTTGTAGGGTGAATCCTGTGAGGCTGCGCAAGCCAGGGCAGCATGGTTTCAGTTCACAGCTCTTCATGATAGCAGAAAAAAGATCTTGCACGGCCAGCAAGATGCAAAAGGTTCTCCTTGTACACATTCGAGACCGGTGCCGCTGCAGATTTTGGCCGAGACTGAGCGACTGGGCCTTTGCCTGATGCAGAACTTCTTTCAGCTGTACGAAATGACAGCAGAAGCCACGCACAAACCCGAGGGCACCTTTCGCAGCGGGCGGCGGGAGCTCGATGTGCCCTGCATATACATCCTGCAAATAATCTTGTGGAACTGTCTCACCCACTTGGCATGCAGGTCCTCCACAACACTGTCTATCAGCGTTCCGCTCTCCGGCGGCACACCTCGCAGGCTCACGTGCACAAAGTGTCTCGTGTAAAATCCCTCTTCTTCTCGTTTCTCTTTGAGCTCTGGGCCGGTCTCCTGCGTCAAGGGGAGCGGCAGTGCCCCTGCCTCACAAGGATGGCATTCCACGTGCAATGCATCCTCCGACACCTGCACAGAAGTGCAACAACGCGGGCACCTCTAAGAGCTCATGGAAGATGTCTTTGCAAAGTTCGGGCCTAAGACTCAGATCACAAGACGCAGCAGAAAGGCCAGGCTGCGCATCACTGCGGTCATTGCAACAGAAAGCTCCGTAGGTTTGCATGCTCCGCACAGCTTCCACGAAGAAGCGACTATCAAAGGGGCCTGGTTCTCCTACTTAACTTAAAAAGGTGACGTCCCGAGCGAGTGTGACAAGCCTCGCGTGGAACTGGAACACCACAGGACAATCACTTGGTAAGCTCTTTGAGCTCACCTGGTGTGGGGCAAAGCTTGAACTTCTCACCTGCTCCAAAGGTGAACTTGCAGGCAGCCTTTCCTGCCACGCGGCCAAACACCACGCAGTCCAGCAGAGAGTTGCCGCCAAGGCGGTTGTTGCCATGGATGCCCCCCGCTGCTTCACCAGCCACATACAGGCCTGGGATCACCTTGCCAGACTTGTCAATGCACTCGGCATCCACTGTGCACTCCAAGCCTCCAATCACGGTCGGGCGGGGGTGTGTCAATGCCGGGTCGGTTAAAGCGCCGACACAAGCTCTGGCAATGCCAACACCTTTAAACATCGGAACGACGCTCTTGAACCCTCCTACCTGTACCCCAGCCCACACGGAGCGCATGAACGAGTGATCTAAATCCTGCCCCATCTATACATGTTGGAGTGCTGTCAACACATGGTCAGATAGAGGCCCAGCGCCTTAGAAGAACTCTTCGCATCTGTTCAAGCAGCTGCGAGAGAGTCAATATGTTGCCCGACCCTGCCTCCCATGCAGTAGTGGATCACTGGCGTGATGATAGCTACGTAGAAAGGTTCCGTGGCGACTTTCGAGCCATCAATGATGTTATGGAAGAACTTCTTGCCGCTGCCAGTCTTGCCACTCGGCTCATCCCAAGTCTTGCCAGATGGGTAGGCAGGGAAGGGACCACCTGAGCAACGCGCTGACAGCAAAGCTTCACCAGGCTTTGTGACATCTAGAGGCATGGAGTGGAGAATGTGCTTTCAACGCGCCAGCACTCTGACAAAGAAAAGACCTGGAGCTATGACATGTAAGCGCTCATGTGTCACGCTGGCAAAGCAACTATCTGCAGTTACGTTATTTCTTCATTGCTCCCATGGATGACTCAGTTCGCATGATGCATCACGCCTTCAGGATCCTTCTCCTGCTTCTTTGCTGCCTCGAAGTGCTTCTGGTGAGCATCCACAAGCTTTTGCAAAGGGACGCCCATGTCCTTGGCCAGGTCCTCACCACTTGCATAGAACTTCATGACTCCGCGTCCGGTGTAGTGCTTGGCATGCCAGATAATCTCATCTGCAGCAGCCTGATCGCAGGGCATACCAGTCAGGACCCGAGCCAAAGAAGGTTAGGTAGACTGCAAGAGAGGAAGCTCCAGACCCGGCCTTGTTCAAGCAGAGGCGGAAAGGAGGCTTGTTCTTCCACATCTCGCCTGTCACGTAGTCCCGTCGGCCCAGCTCGTTGCAGAAGCGATCTCCGTTCGCATCCAGGACAATGCCTCCAACCCCGCGGAGCGCTTCAGCGGCCAAGAACTTCACCTTGGCATCTGGATCGTCGGGCTTGACGAGGCCCGTCGGATGCACCTTTCATCCATCAAAACAGCAAGATCCCGAGCGCAGAAAGCAGAACACTGCAATGCACTTATCTACTTAAACATCACCTTTGATTGAGGTCAGCAGGTCAACATGTTGCAATACGCGCGTCAGCACTTGCCTGCACCCACTCGAGGTCAACGGTGGCGGCCCCGATGGCCTCGCCCATCTTGATGGCATCTCCAGTGCAGTGCTCGCCGTTTGTGGTGGGCAAGTGGAGCAGGTCAGGGCGATAGGTTGCCAAGAGTGAGTCAGCTCCAAAATCGGCACCGAAGCCGCCCGATGCTAAAATCATGGGACCAAATTCTTTGATGGTCTTTCCAGCCTTCCTGTACTCGCAGCCCACAACCGCCTTGGCATTCGTGAGCAACTTGTAGACTTCTGCCTTCGTGATGATTCGGGCACGGTTGGTCTTTTCCGCGACCTGCCGGGGCTTAGTTGGGCTGGGCATCTAGGTTCCAGGTCCAGCTTTTAGGAGTCAAAAGCAGCTCGCACCTTCTCCAACATCTGGATGAGGGCGTAGGTGATGGTCATGCCGGGGAATCGCTCCTTGCCGCGGTGCGTCCTTGGCTGGGAATGTCCTCCCAGGCGAGCTACCAGCGAAAGGTCCAAGTCAAACTTGTCCACGAGCCAGTCAACATCAGCAGCACTGTTGGCGCAGAGCACCTTGGCCAGCTCTGGCTTTTTGGCACCGCCCTTGAGCGTATCAGCAATAAAGATATCAGCGGTGTCTGGGATGGACTGGCCTTTTTGGGTTTTGGTGCCCGCACCGTTGATACCACTTGTGGCCTTGGTACTGTTGCCACCGCAAAAGGAAGACTTGTCCAGCAGCACAGTGCGGCCACCGTTCTCCACTACGGTATTGGCAGCAGACATACCTGCCAGGCCACCGCCGACCACAATCACCTGGTTTGCTGGAAAGACTGCAGCCATGATTGCAGCCCTGAGCACAATGCGGCTAAAAGTCTCTACTTAGCTTTGCCTGCAGCCACAACAACATGCAAGAATGCGAGACAGGACGATTGCAGCGCAGCACCGGGCACACAACTGTGCATGCAACGACTGCTTGTTAGCAGAACGGGGGAAACTAGCTACTCTCTATGAAGCCCAGTCTTTGTCCCAGCTCAGGGTCAGGTTCTGGCACTCGTTTTGATAATGATACTTGGTACTGCACTTTCTGACATCGATTATCAGTTCTACCAGAACTGTATAATAGGCCGACCACACCTACTACGACTACAAATTTCATCATCCTCAGACTTCTAATACTAACATGCGCACTGATACTAATGCTTCTAACAATAGCAGTAATGCTCACCCCCAGCTCCTACAGCCGCAATTTTTTTCGGGGATTTCGTCTGTAGAGTATCCACGCCACCCTAAAAAGGCGGAACAGCAAAGGGGGAAGATACCAGCACAGACCAGCAGCAGGGGAGGAAAGGCTTTTGCTGAGATTCCTGCGCTAACAGCTCGCCCAGCGAAGCTGGCCCTCAAGAAGCGTCTTGCAAGGAATCCGATGGTCTGGCGTTGACATCTGAGGCTACTGGCCCTGTTGCTGCAACTCGCGCAGAGATGCAACAACCCAGGCATTGATGAAGTCTTCTGCCTCAGGAATTTATGGAGAGCTTACTGTACAGATGTTGGCGCAGTTGGCTGGTGCTGAGGCTTGGGCCGGACTTCTCTCAGCTCCAGAGCCGGTCAGTGCAGCTTCTCTTCTACCTGCCTGACAGGTGCTGCAGCTTGGGTGTAGAGACACACAAGCACGTGCGTAGCCTCAAAGGCATTGTAGACCTTGCTTTTCAGCGGCTTGTCTTTTATCTGCGAGCGTAGCCAAAAAAATATATTCAATCAGCTGGAGATCAGCAGTGCACGCTATCCACCTTCTCAAAGAGAATGTCCCACAGCATTGGAGCAAAGCGCTGCTCCTGCAGTTCAAAACCATAAGAACTACTACAAAGCAGCAAGCATGGCACTGAAACACTTCAAGGTCGTGTTTCGGAGGCCTCGAATGCGCGATCATGTGCATGGAGCACCTTGCAAGTGAAGCAAAGACACTTCACGAATCTCAGATGGGGTTCATAATTTATAACTAGTTGAACAGGAAGGGGTACGGCATTTTTGTTGAGACCAGCCTGCCGCTCGAACATGGTCTGCGGCACCTAGCGAGTCCCACAGACTGAATTAAGCAGTGCCGCAATTGGGCCCTGAGGGTTGCACGTTGTTGAGCAGATGAGGCGGAAAAAGCTCTTTCACCGCAGCATCGATGACCTCGAAGTATTTAGGCCACAATCACGCTCGCTGTGGCAAGATCCCATTGCATGGTCCACGGATGTCCAAGGCACCATGAGAAAGTCCACTTCCGGCAACCATGGTCGGTCTTTGAGTGCCTCTAGACAAGCAGGTGACATTTTCGCCAGCGTTGAAGTTTGACTGGCCTGGAAAAGCGATGCAAAGACCGTGTCCGAGTATTCCTCGATCAGAGCGTCCCTGGAACGCAGCTGGCAAGCCGAGGAGTAAACACGCCTTACTTGAAGCTAAAGTGTAAGATAAATGCCAAGGACCAGTCCACGTCTTCGAATAAAAGTCAAGACCTTTTGCAGCGTTCCTGAAGTACTGCTTGACCCTCCAGGGATGCACACGTTCTGATTTCTAGCCGTCTGCGCAAACACAGCCAGCTCCGGCTGCCTCTTCTCCAACTTTGCCTGATCCCATTCCGTCTCTTTGGAAAGGATGGGTGACAATGCCTCCATGAGAGGATACTGAGCAAGCAGGACGCAGATGTGGTGGACTTTTCAGGCTTACTTGCGTCTTTTCTAGTTTGCATCGCGCACCCCATCCTTGCACTACCCCATGCAGCAGCAAGACCATGCACTTGATCCAATCTGTTCGCCTCGCTCACCGCAGCGGAGATCTGGTCCTGTCGGCACTTAGTATGAGATCATGTGCAGCAATGGTTTGAAAAAGTCCTCCTGCCAGTCGGCACCACCGCCGCCGCCACCATGGCCTTTCCACCTCATGAGCAAAATGGGTTTCAAAGCTGCGTGCAGACCGTGACGTCGCCTCGTAGGCATCGCTTGACTGGAGATGGAAGGAATGGCGCTGCTTGAACCACACGTTGTACTGTCTTTTTCGCAGTATGCTTCGGCCGCTCAGACACAAAGATCGAACAAGATCATACATAAAGGCTAGTTCGTTCACAACCGATTGAGCAAGAAGTCGATTCTCTTCTTCTTGCATCATTGATTCCTGTATTGCAGTGTTGACCCTTGTGTCGTTGATGTGCCAGCCGTCTGCAAGAGTCTAGCTCCTTTTACAGAGTTGTTGAAGAAGGCAGCTTCTATCCACATTTTGCTCGTTTGAGTTGCCTTATATGCAACATTCCAAGTCAACCACAGCAGGAGCAAGGGCTGCGCAGAGAGCAATCAGCACTTTGTGCGCAAGGTAAGGGTAATGGCAGAGCCTTGTGCCAGAAGCTGTACACGAGCTCACAGGAAGGGAGGCAGATACGCCATCCGAACCAAGATCCAAAGGAGATTCTCCTTTTTCCCAATTGCAGGAAAATGAGGCACAAGAGCTCAGCTTCAAAGCTCCACGATACCTTCAGTGTTTAGGCCATTGTTCTTTATCTTCAGTGCCTGGACCGTGTCGAGGAGCTGCTTGCCTCCTTGCCATTCCTTACCAGCTTTCTTGATTGCCTGGACAATTGGCGACACATTCAGCTGGTACTGGTAGTCGCCGCTCTTGGCCAGGATCAAGGTTCTTCTGGCTGTCCTGTAGATCAGGTCTATTGCAGTCAAAGCAGCTGCCATGTTCTCACCAGACTCGTCAGCCATGTCTGCACCCAGTCCCATCCTGAGCAAGTCAGGGCCGTAGTAGAGCATGATTTGAGGACCAACAGGGCTTCCCGCCAGTTCCTGGACTAAAGGCAGGAAGTCATCCAGCAGGAGTTGACAAACCTTCTGCGGGTTCTTGTAGGTGTTTCTTGTCAATGCCAAAATACGCAAAACAGCCAGGCCAGTCTCATGGCAAAACACATTGCTCTCGCACATGGCGGCAAATTCTGGCTCGAAGTCAGGATAGGCCTTCTTGAAGTTGGTGTACAGGAAGTTGAAATACAAGGTCCGATCGTAAATCTTGGGATTGTCCACAAGCTTGGAAATGAGATCGTCCATGGCAGCCGTGAAGCCCATGTACACAGGTTGCATAGCAATTGGGAAGATGAATTTCTCATTGCAGGTTGCGCCAGCAATGTCAAAAATGGAATGGTAGAAATAGTAATGGAGAGTGCCATTCATCAAGTGCTTCCGGTCCAGGTCCAGCAAACCCTTGAAGTTGATGCAAGCTATTTCTCCTTGACCTAACTGTGGCAGCTGAAAGTTGGTGGCGAAGCCTGCCAAGATGGACTCCTGCCGCGAAGGAGACAGTTTTGCGACTGTTGGCAGCAGCTGCTTCTTCAGCTCCGCATCTGCTAGCGCAAACGCAAGTGCCCGATCATGATCATCCGAGCGCATGTCAAGCGGCAAGGAATCGTTGACCACCTGCCGGAAACCATCGTTCTTGCCAACATCATGCACTACCAGAAAAACGAGCATGCCCCACCAGTCATCTTCGCAGGTCATGTGAGCTGCAAACTTTCGGCAGAAGTCGTGATACTCGTCTTTCTTGTTCCCCAGGTTGATGAACTTTCCTGGAACCTTGTCCATGCTCATTGGTCCCCGCTCGCCAGCAGACACACACTCCAGACCGAAGTCATCCTCCATGACTGAGGCATAACATGCTAAGAGAGCAATAATGGCCCCAACCGTTCGGTAGTACTCAGTCGGGCTGTCAGATATTTCCTCCACACCAGGACTTGTCTGAATTCGGCCTTGTTTGTAAAGGCTTAGCTCGGGGAAGGTACAATCAAGCTCTTTCAGGAAATCCTTGTTCGAGACAGCGTCCGGAGCTTTCAGAACACCGCCACAATCTTTGAGGAGCTCTACGAGAGGCCTGATCTTCCCTCCCACATCTTCCATGGGAATCTCCTTGCAGCTGCATGCTGCGACCCCCATTTCTCAGTCTCTGAGGGTCTGGCCTGCTTCGAGGCTTCTCTTCACGAGTGCAGGATTTGCAGGCCGCCCGGCTATTGCGGGTCACGACGAAAATCAATGTTAAAAGTGGCCTGAGCCAACAAAAAAGGCATGGATTTGCTTGGCTTCTTGGCCTGCGTGCTCTGAGTTTACTCTGCTTCTGCGTTAGCGGCGCTAGCGGACGCATCTTTTGGGATACTCATGAAGCGCACAGCTTCGCAGCTTCGCCGCTCAGCCCGGCTCAGCTTGGACATCCGTAGTTTTCTAGTGAATCTAGTCAGCGCAGCTCGTATCTATGGAGAGAAAAATGTTTTTTCAAGCAAAGCCCGGCATTCATCAGGGCAGGAATGCGAGATGGAAGGACCCAGCAAGGCTTCTCATCTTACGCGACTTGCTATGAGTTCCAGAACTGCCCCTCATGCTTGCACCGCATGTACATGCTGACAGACACGTGTTCACTCCTAACCTTTGATAGGACTATATGCAAACCGTGTTGTCACACTGCCAAAGTTCTTCTCGCTGGGTGAGGAAGCCTCAGGCAATAAATATGCCACCTGAACAGCCTGAAGTAGTCTGCCTCGGGATTTGTCAAACTCTCCGACATCCCGAAGATCGAGCTGCAGTTGCTCTGAGCCTTCGGTCTTCGCCTCTCGCCAAATGGTGACCACGCGGACAGCTGCCGAAAGCTTGTCAGCGTCGATTGGCCGCACCTCAAAAAGCTCTGAGACGCGCAATCCGCCAGGGATCTCCGGATCTGCACGGGCTACTGCGCCAGCGGCTTGTAGCTTCCATTGTCCTGCGACCTCCCAAAGACCCTCCGTCTTTGTCTGTTTCAGTCTTGGGGCTGGACCGCCCACTGCATACGCAGCCGCGGCGGCCCCAGCTGGGAGTCCCCCGCGGTCTTCTTCCGCACCAGCCCCACCTTCTGGCGATGCGCGCTCGGTCGGCTTCCACCGCCTGCGTGCTCGAAACACACCTGCTTCCATTCCAACCTCAAGCTCCGGGCACGGCATGACAGAATGCCTTTCAGAACACACACGGGCTGAGTCTGTGACTGCATTGTTGTTCCTGCGCATGGCAGCTGGCGTGCCGGGCCTGAATCTGACATAAGCCGCGCGACATATGCGGCACTCCCAAAGACAAGGCCATGACAGCCTGGCTGACAAGGCGTTCTCGCCCAAAGGGCCTGTCTCCACCTTGTACCTCAACACTATGCAGAGGCATGCCGAGGCTTTCTGCAGTTTTGGAGGGCTCAGCTTTTTGCCATGAGGCTGAACTACGCGTATCAGGTAGAACTATTGTACCTGGACATGATAAACCCAATCTATACAATGAGATGCCTACAAAGCCAGAAGAGAACAACCGCCGCCGCCGAAAGAAAAAAACACACACACACACACACATCCTCCTCCGCCGCTGCCGCCGCCACCGCCGCCACCACCACCACCGCCGCCGCAGCCGCCGC